TTAATCTAATTGAAATAAATTGTAGGGGTGAGATACAGTAATATGATTTACATTGTTTATAGTTTTTTAAATTTGTTTATTATTTTCCGCTTTTATTATACAATCTTGCTAATATTCTGTTTTTAATATTTTAAACAATGTCTAATTCACAAATGATTCTAATGCTTTCCTGAGAACAAGATTGGATTTATTAAAATCTAATATTGTGGACTTGATCTGACCCCAAATATAACACAGCATTCTTCATTGTGGAAGTTTTTTGAATGCAGCTCAGAATCTGATAAGTCCGGTGAAACTCTGAAGATGAGGCTATGGATTATCAGCTTTTATTTCTGCAGAAAGCAAAAGACTGGACGACCTTTTGGTCTCCCACCTTAACAGAGCAGGCAGAGAGAGAGAAACTTTAACCAAGATAGAGCAACTCTGTTCGGGTGCTGCTTATTGTCAGTTTATGGACAGGCTCTTCCCAGGTTCTGTCACGCTCAAGAAAGTGAAATTCCAAACAAAGCTGGAGCCCAAATACATTCAGAATTTCAAGGTCCTACAAGCAGGTTTTAAGCGAATGAGTGTTGACAAAATAATACCTGTGGACAAATTAGTGAAAGGAAAATTCCAAGACAATTTCAAATTTGTTCAGTGGTTCAAGAAATTCTTTGATGCCAATTATGACGGAAAGGACTACGACCCTGTGGCAGCTCGGCAAGGCCAGGAGACGTGCCCCGTCCTGACTCTGGTGGTCCCAATGCTGAACAAACCTAAGAAGAACCTCGGCTCTGGTGACACAGACTGTTCCAGAGAGGGGGTAGTTGGCCTGGCATGGCGCTGGATGAGATCAGGCAGCTGGCTGTGTTACCATCGCTGCGGTCTTTCAGGTGTCCCCCCTCCGTTCCACTGGACTCGGCCTTCCCTACGGTGCGGCCTCTCCCCTGTCTGCCTTCATGGTTACGGGGTCTTCTTTCTTATCACCTGGCTCTCCCTGCTCATGGCTGCTGGACTTTGGATTTACTTTTGGACTTACGACCTGGACTTTGGACTTATGACCTGCCTCATTTGGTGTGACCACTGCCACCCGTCGATGTTCAGTTATGCCACCTCGGACTTTTTTGGACCCCCTGCCATACCATCCTATTGCACAGGAAAGAGAGAAGACGAACTATCCTCCCTCCATATCACCGTTAAATTCCACCTATCTGAACTTTTAACGAATCCGCCTATAAACTTTGCACAATATCAACAGCTGCGCAAACTTTGTATGTGGAGTGTATGTGGTATGTATGTGATTAAGTGATCCCACGCTTTTTAATTTAATTTAATTCATTCTTCTATTTTAGTGTATTTTATTGTATTATTGTATATTTTTAACATTAGTGGGGTATGCATGTGGAGAATGTCTGGCCAGTATGTATGAGGGGATTGAGAGTGCGGCCTGGAGCCGCCTCCACTGAGTGCAGAAGCAGAAGTGGATGGGGGCCCAGATCCGCCTCTCGTACGAACGGCCTGCCGGGGAGAACGGGGGTCGTGAGAGGGGAGGGGGGTCTACGGGGATGGGGACGGGCCGGAGCATCCCAGTTACGTTTGGGAGAAGCAGGTATGATGAGAGTTACAGGGCTAGCCATTACCGGGGAAGGAAGGTTCGCTACGTCACAGCGATCCCTCCTTCTGGCCCTGATAGCTCAACTCAAGGACCAGGTGGCAAGAGATGTCAGGGCCCTGGTCTCAGATTGCTGTTGCTAAATGCCAGCTCTGTGATTCATAAAGCTCCCCTTGTCC